AACACCAGATTCTTTCCGTATACCGTATATTAAGACGAACCTCAAACAGATTACAGCCCTCACTGTGAAAGGTAAAAGCAGCAAGTTGGCAGAAGAAAATACAGAATATATTTGTAATCTTGGGGTAAGGAAGAACACCTAAGATTCCTAATCTACAAAAAGCAAAAATTAATGGCATTGGGCTATATCAAAATTTAAAATTTCTGAAAGTTACCACTGATAAAGTTAATAGATAGCAGAATGAGATTAATATCTAGGATATTTAAGACATCTGCAAATCAATACATTAGAAAAGCAGACTAAAGCCAGTCAAAGAAATTGTAATAGCTAACAAATACATTAAACGATGCTCAAATTCATTAAGAAATTACATAAGTTCACGTTAAAACAATAAGAAGCCATCAAATACTGGTAAAATTAGAGAGATGGTTAGTATCAGCCACTAAGGAGGATGTGGTGATTTAGGAGCACTTGATGCACTGCTGTGAGAGTGTCAACCAGTCCAGCAACACTGGAGACTAATTTGGCAGTATTTAGTAAAAACAGGTGTGTTTGTTCTCTTTTACCCAGCCCTCCCACTCTTGGGTAGATACCCTTAGAGCAGTGCTCCTCAAACTTTCCTATGCACCAGAGTCTCCGGGCTGGATGTGCTAAAACACAAATTGATGGGTTTCTGATTCAGGAGGTCTAGGTTAGGTCCCGAGCACCTACAAGTCTAACAGTTCCCAGGTGAGGCTGATGCTGCTCGGTATGGACCCCTGTAAGAACCACCACCCTAGAGATGTTCTCACAGGCATCGTTAAGAGATGCTGCAGGATATTCCTTCATCACAGCTTTGCTCATGGTAGCAGGAATGGAGGTGACCTAAGTTTGCATCATTAGAAAAATGGGTAAGTAAAACTAGTGGGTACATAGCAGGCCAGCCGTAAAAAGCAGCAGTCATAGCAATGCACTGGATAAACCTATACTAACATAGATCTCTCCAATAAAATGTTGAATTAAATTCTTTTGACTTTTATGAATGTCTGAAAATTTCCCTAACAAAAAGTTTTAATATTGAATGGAAAAGCAACCGAATAAAAACATAGCAGCACAGCACTACTTACCTGAACTGAAAACATGCACACAAGAACACAACATCTTTAACAAGGATAGAGACATACCCAAGAACATCTAACACAAGAGAGGAAGCTCCTCTGACGGAGAGGGGAATGAGAGTGGGAAAGAAGGAAAAAACAAAACAAGAAAGGGGCTTTGCACAGGGAGATCTTATGCCAAAAATTGAGCATGTTAACTCAACCCTCAGCACCAGGAAGTCTCAAAGGTGAAAACTACCTCACCTATATTTACACACAATGGTTGCTCCAGTGAAAGCCCTCAGAAGCTTTGCAGGCTAAGGGGGCAGATCACCTTGCCACGAGAGAGGGAAGGGGAATCTTCTTGAAATACAAGCTTGGGGTGATTTCAGGCCCCCAGAATTCAACCTGCTACTGAGCCCTGGACTTTCCCTGTGTGACATATTAGTATTTAAAAAGAAGCTGGGATGCTTAGCTTTTGGCAAAGGGTGTATGTGTCTACGTCTGTGTCTGTGTCTCTTGTCAGAGTGTGTGTGCACGTGTGGGTCTGTGGATTTGTGTGTGGCTGTGTGTGTGTGTGTGTGTGTGTGTGTGTGTGTGTGTGTGTGGTGTGTGTATCTGTGGAGGGAAAGAGGACTAGGGAGGGGAGCAGAGCACTCCAGCACAGACCGAGCCACACCTGTTGATCTGCCATTTGATTCTGTTTTACTGAAACCAGAAGTCACAGTCACAAAACCAAGCCACCTTCTTGGCCCCACCCACCCTTCTCTTCCCTTTTCTTCACCCTCTCCTCCCCGACATCCAACGCTTTTTCCTAACTGCCACATCTAAATATGCTCCTCTGGTGACTGGGTAGCTAGCTTATTAAAGTGACACACTTTACAGCCAAAATTCTTGGGATGTGGTAGGAGACGATAAATGACTATTTATGTTCCTGACCAAGGGCCTTAACAGAAAAGTCCAAAATCTTTAAGACCGGGTATGCCTTACCAGTTCTTCCAGAAGAGACTGCTGTGGCTACAGCTACCATACAAAAAAGGCAAAGAGAGAGCCAACTACAATCTGTCATGCCCCCCACAAGGTCACGCTGGCCACAGCTTTTTAGGACCATCAAATAGTTTATCATATGAAGTGGTGGAAAAGTGTATGGGACGATGAAAAAAGAAAGGTCAGCACTAGTAGAATTTATGTGAGAAAATGCAGCAGCTTTAAGTAAATGAGCCCATGCCAGGAAAGTATGTCTTTAGGGGAAGAAGAAAGAGCTTAACAACTGGAGGAAGGCACAGAATAGCAAAGGTAAAATGCAGAATGAGCTGGACAAACACTCAGGCCTCCCTCAAAGACGGGCCAGGTTATCCCCCTGTGCAAACAAGCCAGAATTTTTATTCCCAAAACACTGTTTTGTCTCTTCTATGGCAGCACTTTTCATTGGATGATAAAGGCTTAGGAATTCTACAGTTTTCCTGAACTGTTTTGTATAAAATGAAGTTTTATAAAAAAAAGGGTATTTGATATGCAGCCGGAGCACTTTTTAATTTAAAAAAATGTATAATGGTCATATGTAGGAGCCTTCTAGGTTTTCATGAGATATGTAAGCAAAACAAGCTTATGTTTTTTCCATTGACATGCAGGATCTGTCACAATTTTAAAATTAAGGGACTTAACCAGGAAAAAAGTAAAAGGGTTGAGGCTTCAAGCTAAGGTCAACATAGGCAATTTTGACGTATGAAAACATACAAAGTTCTTTAAACGTCAAAACTTACTGACAAGCTTCTAATACGAAAAATTATTTAAATTTCAGTTGAATGAGTATCTACAAGTTAGGCACTGCTCAAGATGCTAGAGATCCTCCAATGAATAAGACATTTCTTTAATAACTGTGTCCCTTTAATGTCATTTATCCATCCCTTGAATTAATTTTTAATGCTTTCTGATGTTTGAAATAGCTCACTACCAGCAATGAAAAACTGCAGAAATACATCTTACTATTTTACTAAAAATGTAAATTTCTAATCTCTGAAGCAGAAACAGAAGGAAAAGACTTTCTCTGCTTTACATACTGCTATCATTTTCTGCACATTAATTAATTACTTAAACTGTGCATGGTGGCAGCTGCCACTTCCTGCTATCCAACGGGTCAGAGAACTGGAGAGATTCAAAAACATGCTAGATAGTTTAAGAGAGACAGGGAAGGAACCCAAAAAACCAGGGCCTCCTGCCATAAACAGAAAGCAAGATAAGGAAAGTGAGCTGCTCTAGGCAGAAGAGTCTCCTGGAGATTCCCCTGAAGCTGCTGCCGCTTGCTCGCTGGCTTGCTGGCTTGCTTGGCCAAGGTATGGCTTCAGGGCTGGAAGGCTGCCACCTGCTGAATCACCAAACATCTCTGGGCTTCCCTTGGAGCACTGACCAGACGGGGACCCATCCCCCGCCAGGCTTCTCCCGTGAACACCTTCCTCCCCGAACCAATGAAACGCCTAGCCCTCTCCCCTTACGCCAAGCCAAAACAGCCAACCAACCTCGTTATGTCTGGGCAGCCCTAGGCAACTCCCATCGCGTCGCTACGTCACCAGTCCCACTCCTCTCTTTCTGTCCACTCGGTCCCCCCCGAATGTTCAAACCCCAGTGCCAAGAAGCGTGGGGAGTTCACAGCACACCATGACGGGCACTTGCCACTTCCACACCCAGGCAGCCAACCCCAAACACCCCCAAGTCCGCAAGCAAAATAACCTGCAAACAGCTCTAAAGGTCCAGCAAGGTAAATGTCAAGGGAGCTAGAATAGTAAGCAGGCCCCATAACATAGAAAACAAACTTCCCTTTCAGAAAACAGCCTTCACTCTTGGTTTCTAAGTGTGTACTGCTGAAGTCGGTACTATCTGAAGGTGAAAAGAAACATCTGAGAAGCACCTGCATGGGTTCTCTTCACTCCCTCCGGCCCTGGCAACCCTCATCCGGATTTTTACTTGACACTCCCACGACGGAAACAAGCTTTAACCAGAACGCGCCTGTGTGAATCCGTTAGCTGGACCAGGACACCCTACCCGGTCCACCAGAAGAAGCAGAAAGCCCGAGTCTGGGTTAAGAAGGTGGGAGAAACAGCCGCTGTTGTCGCTGCTCTGCCCTTGACACGTCGCCTTGGAACCGCGGAGACCCCTCACTCACGTGAAGGGCCGCGTCCTGGAGAGAATGTCCAGTTCCAGGCTGCGCTGATGGCTCCTCCAGGCCTTACCTGTAAACACGCTCACCCGTGGGGGCAGCCCCGCAGGGTGTCAGAGCCACCCCCAACCTGGAGGCTGTTAAATGGCCTGCGGAGGGGGGCACGCCCCGCAGGGAAAGGGTTCCCACCTGTTATGTTGTCCGGGGACATCGAGGCGGGGCGGGGAGGGTACCCGAAACCCAGGGCGCCTGGCCGGCTGCGATCGGACCCAGAGGTACCAACTGTCACGCCGCCAGCCGGGCGGTGGGGGTAGGGCCGTGATTTGGTGTCGGACCCTGCGGGTCTCCGGACCCCCGCCGCGCCACTGCCCGAAGGCTCCTCGCCTCGCGGTTCTTCGGCCCCTCCACCGTCTGCTCGCCCCAAACCGACAGCAGGCAGCCTTCCAGCCCGCACGCAAGACCTCTGAAAAGGTGCCCACTGACGCCTCCGCCTTTCTCCCTGCCTCAACTTGGTCCGGGAGCCCCGCGGGCTCCCCGCCCGCTCGGAGCCCCGAGCCCGGCCGCGGGACCGCCCCCCACCCCGCGCCCACTCCTCCCCTGGCGCGGTGGCGGAGTGGGGGGACTGCCCGCCAGGTACGCGCGAGGCAAGGCGCTGGCTGCGCTCACGCCCCCTCGCCCCGGGGCTGCCCGCACACCTTTCCCAGGCCCGGGAGCGGGGGTGTCCGATCGGCCCCCGGCGAGCGGCTCTCTCCCGCCGCCCCACGACTCACTTGCACCGGAGTCGCGGCAGCCGCCGGAATTCCGCTCGCCGAGCCCCCCGCTGCGGGATGAAATCCGGGGCAGGGCAGAGTTGGGGCTCCACACCCGGAACGCGCTGTCAGGCTGGCTCGTCGGCCGCAAGGGGAGAGCAGCCTTCCCTGGCCGGCCCTTCCCGCTCCCGTCCTGGCCCCCGCCGACGCCGACGCCGCCGCCGCTGCTGCCCGGCCGCTGCCTAGCTGGTGCGAACGCTTCCGACTTGCCACAGCGAGCCTCCCGGGCTGCCGAGCATGCCCAGTCCGCTGCACGAGCCGGTCCAGCTACCCGCGCGACGCAAATCCGCTTCTCCGGGTGTTCGCTGCGGCCAGGAGGGCGGGGCGGGCGGGGCGGGCGGGGTCTGCGGGGAGCTCATCCCAGGACCCAGGGGGGACCCGAGCCAGACTGCGCACCTAGGGGCTGGCGAGGCTTGGCGCCCTGTTATTTTACTTTCAAGTAATTGGAAGCTCGAGAGGCGGACGTGTTCCCCAACGACGAGAAAGGCCCAGCTTGCACATTTTTAGGGGGCCGTTTAGTCAGGCCGGACGGGAGCCGAATTTTACGGTCGGGGGCAGTATACCATTTGGGGCAGAGCCGGAGAGTTGAAGAGCTAGAGCTGGTCAGAACAGAGAACGCAAACTCGGCCTTCCGGAGACCCGGCTCGCGGGCACGAGTTTGCGAGCTACCCGAGTCTCTTCCCCACCGAGCCTAGGAGTGCAGCACTTGGAATTAACTCGAAATTGATCATATTTTTAAATTTAAAAAAAAAATTAATAAAAAATGTAGAAAGGGCGGACCGCAGACTCTACAGCCCATTTTCAAATCTCTATTCACAGATTGACTCCAAAAACAATGAATCAAGGCGAGTAAGGCCCGAATAGCTCCAGTCGTATAGGGAGAGGTTCAGGCCTCTACAGGGCCGCCCCACCCCGACCCTTCCCGGCCCCACCTCCTGCCAGCCCCACCTCCTGCCGACCCCACCTCCTGCCGGCCCCGCGGAGTTGCGGGAAAAACCTGGAGAGCTGGCGTGCCCGGGCCGGAGCACTGCGCATGCCCAGTGGCCCGACCTGGTGCAGGTCGCCCGAAGCAAGGTTTTTCTCGGCTCCCTAAGCGCGACCCCAGCGCCCGGGTTAGGGGCGGACCGTGGGGAGAACTGGCTTTCCGCTTCGGGGCCCTCCCTTCGTGTCCGTACCGTTCTGTACCCCAGTGGCGGAAAGGCAACCCGGGGCTGCGCGTCCCGCTGGGTCCGGGACTCGGCGAGCGGGGGAGGGGGCGTGCAGCGGCATCGCCGTGGCACGTGACTGTCCGTGGCGCTCCGGGCAGCCATCTTCCGCTCGGCCATCGGTCCGTGGGCGATCGGAACGGACCGGAGAGCTGGCGGGATGGGGGCAGAGAGCTCTGCTCCCCGCCACGCCCACCCGCCGGACTCCATATGCTCCGCACCTGCCTCCGCCCCGCCCGGGAGAGCGGCAATCGCGGCACTGGCCCCAGGTTTCTGAGAGGACAGGCTCCCGCGCGGGCTAAAAACAGCGGCTGCGAAATCGGGAGGGCAAGACTCCGGGGGCGGATGGCCTCTATTTTTCCCCAGAGGCGGAAGTTGGAGAAAGGGGTCCCCTTCCGTAAGGCAGTGACCGCTGCTCCAACTTCCTCCCTGTTCTAATCTATTCGGTGCAGAGACGTGGCGTGTTGGCAGGATCATCTGGACAGAGGCCGTCGCTCTTCCCTGAGATGTAATATCCCATGGCCCCTGCTGGTGGACAGCTTGGATGGTGATGTTAATAGCATTTATTGAGGTCCTGCCACGAACCACTTGGGGTCTCTGTGGCCTTAGGGCCAGATAGGTCACCATCACCCGAGAATTTGTTAGAAATGCAAAATGCCCTGCAGAATCGGAAACACTACTGGGGGCGAGGAGGGATCCTGCAACCTCAAACCCTCCACTGATTCTGATGACCATTTTACTTATTTCAACTAAGCCTTAGGGCGGCTCACTTTATAAACGAGGCATCGAAATTTTATCCCAAAGGAGAGTGAAGACAGTGGGCTCCATTGCGGGCTTTTTATCGCACCCTCCACTTTGGCTTTTCTGGCTGCTTCACTCCTATGTCACTATACTGCTTTTCTCAGGGAGATTAAGAAAGTGCCTTTGTCATTTACGGCTTTAAAAATAACTGAAATTCAGTTCAACTACATATTTTGAGTGTACAGAGGGCAAAGCTCTTTGAGTCATTGTAGCTCTACTGAGAATTTTCGTCAGTTTACACCTAAGAAGTGCAAGAAAAGGCTTGCTTTCTCATGATGTAAAGTTTTTCAAACTAAGGCAGCGCCAGAAAACTGCTGACTGGTTTCTCTGAAGTGCTGTTTATGCAGAATGGCCAGACTTTGGACTTTCAGAAAATGAGGTTCAAGTAAGAAGCTGGGGTAGACTTGCGTCAAGGAGTCTGTACTTTAAAATGCCCCACACCCCAAATGTAAAGCTGAACTGAATTTTGTAAAATATTAGCGGTTTTTGATTGTAAGTGGTTTTCTAGGGTGATCGTTGTAATGTTTTTTTTTTTCCTAATTCTGTGTATGTTTGAAATGTTTCATAATAAAAGGCTTCCTAAATTGCTTTCCATGAGTAATTTTACGACTGTATATAATATGACACATGGAAAAAAGCGAAATATAAAACTCCAGTTTCTTCCAATTTCATAAAATAATTCAGAGAGAAAGAGCTATAATAAACTCAGTAAAATATCTAAAATGATATTGAAAGAAAGACAGTAAAAATAAATTCTGGGTGAAGTGATTTTAAGAAACACTATAGTTGACTCTCCTTGATATTCAATTTAGTCATGGTCCTTAAGTCACTACTGTTTGTAACCAAAAAAAAATTTTTTTTAAGAAAAATAAGTAATTGTCCTTCTCCATCCACCCAACTCTAAAGAATTTTACCAGTGTATTTTTCTGATCAAAATTTTAATAAGCATCATACTGCTTGGTTGTAAAATTTTAGGATTCTCAAGTACACAGAATATCATAAGTTACATTGTTGTCAAGACAACTATGAAATAAAAATGAATCACCTCCAAGTCACAATCTGTCACTAAAATATGTTAAAAATAATATTAAGAGCAAATACAAGGGCAAGCAGTTCACTTGCCAGAACAGCTATTCCTTCTACCATTAGAAGCTAACCTACCTGATCAAAAATGTAGTGGTTTTATCCAGTTGATAGTTGACCTGTAAGCAGCATCCATCACTCACCAAACAATAGTCAAATAGTATTCAAGAAGCAAGGAGGCTTCTGTGTGTCCATGGCAATTTGTCTCAGTGGAAGAATCTAGAACCACAAAACCTGAGTAGCAGGAACAAGACCTTATGAGCCCTCTTAGCCCTTTAAACTCATCTGGCCAATCCACAATCCAGTCTCCAAACAAAGGTTGATCAGAAGCGCCAGCTTGCAGACAATGGCTGATTCCAAGTATTTGCCCTGGGGCTTAGATCTGGTAACACTCAACCCTCTGTGCCTGTTCCTAGGGCCATGGTGAGGTTTCCTGGCTTCAGTAACTGCCTAGGTTCTCCCCCTGGTCAACAAAAAACTGGAATTTATTTGAAGACACTGGGGTAAATCAGGGATGCCGCTGAGGCTAAGGCAGAGATCAGAACAAGGAACTGGAGTATTGGCAGGAACCCAGGAGGTCTCCCTCTGTTTCCTCTGCACTGCTGTTTACTCTCTCCCTCACGCTATGGCTTTTTCCACCTTTTTAAGCAGATAAGGTAGGGATTCCCCGGAGAAGGAAAACCAGGCATGGCTTTCTTGACATAAGAGAAGCCATTTTTGGCCTAAGCCATTTTGTGATCTAAGCCTGGCCACAATGCTCACCCTTGAACAGGTATCAGTAATTAATTGTCTTAAGGTAACAAAAGAATGCAGAAACAAACCAGTGTCATCAGGCCAGAGAAGTAACAAGAGCAAAGATAATATATCACTTGTAAAGACTCCCAGTTCTCTTTCAATGGTAAAAATTAGCCTGAAGCGCTCAACCACCAGATCAACTGGCACCTTAAGGGATGATGATGTTGACTTTTTCTGACCTTCATGACGTCAATCAGCTAAAGCTTGGATTCTGTGGACCACCCAAGACCCTTCATGAATATGCATGTACCCTTAGCTTAAAAATTCCCCAATTTGCTGTCATGGTGACACTGCTTTGGGAAAGATCCTTGGTGTTCTCCGTACTTGCTGCAAGTAATAAATCCCTCCTCATGCTCTTTGGCTTGGTTGTGTCTTTTGGCTCAATGCCCACCAAGAGGCAAACCCAGTTTCAGGGTAACACCTTCCGTTCACAAAGCAGGAAATGACTACTTGAGAGTTCCCAAGTTTATTTCTCTTCTAGGGAGTAGCAAGACTGACCCTACCCATGTTCATTATCCCCATTGTCTAGTTGAAGCCTATTTCCCCAGATTCCTACTGTCCACTAGAACCAATCCTATTAATATTTCAACACCCCAAGTCCACCTGTTTTCATAAAAGCTTCTCTGCCTTCCAGGACACAGAAACTTCCTAGACACACATTTTGGCACTTATTTATGTTACATTATGTCTTTTTGACAGTTCTCTGTGTGTTTCCTGCAAGTAAGTCTTACTTACTTACTTACTTACAAGTAAGTTCCAACTTACGTATTAAATGACATTGACAATATATCTATTTATTTTTCATCTTCCATAGCACCTAGCACAGACTTAGCATCAAGTAGCCCATAGTAAATATTTCTTGAACTGTATAGTCTTCTTTTGACTTTTCTGTTGCACCATTTTTGTTTAAAAAGGGTAAACCACTAGGAATGGAAATGTCCTTGCTATGTTGTCCTTCTCTAATTAGTAACCACCCTTCACAATCTGCTGTGTACATCTAAAGAGGAGTTTGAAATTAGACATTTATGACTGGGCGCTAACCAGGGTGTGATGAATCAATACCATCAGCAGAATGCTGCACTATCTGACAGACACAGCACCATTGTCAAGAGTTGTAATTTACTCCTAACTTTTTAAATATTGTGTAACTCCAAGCAAGGCTTCATTATCACCTCTTAAAATGAGACTAATATAACCCACCCCCTCTTTGCTTTCCATGGGCTTCATGGAAATTATTTAGGTCTTTAATCAGAATATATGTCTATTAAGTGTCTTATAATTAATTAGAGGTAAACAGAATGAAAACATTAGGTATC